CACTGAGGGCCCAATTGTTGTTTCAGTGAGAAAAACTAACCTCTCAAAATAAGCATATGAAAAAAGGTGGGGAGATTCAGCTGTGAAAGTATCAACCAAGCAAAATCCCTAGCTGCCAAACTAGGTGAGTACAGTGAATTCACGATAGTGAATACAGAGCTGACTGACTACTGGGGAAGCAAATGTTCTTTGGTAGAGATGCCACTTCGGGAAGAAAAGTCAATATATTCTGAAATTAGCATCAGTTTTTGCTTACCAGCCCTCAAAAGGCAGGCATTCTACTAAAGGTGCTAAAAGGGAGAAATAAAAAAACCAAACATTGATAGCAGCATTTGTATCAGCACTGGAGACTAGATTAAATGACATAACCCTCACAGGGTAACTGTTGACCTTCATAACAGTGAAGTATAATCACAGCCTTGTAAATCAGTGAGTTGATAGTGTAGTCCAGATAGTCCGTTTTCAAATATATGTGCCAACAGTTCTTCAGGAGTGGGGAATAAAGAAATAAACGAATGCTCTGCTCAAAAGTTTAAAAATAACCTCATGAGAAAATTCCAAGACGACCACTTATTAGAAATGTATTATGAAGAAGAAAGCAGTGGTGTCCCTGTGTCCACGGCACTTCTTGTCTTAGGAAAGCTGGCCGTCCCCGCATCGTAAACACAAGGAGCGGTTTTGTATCCGAAACTTGCAAGCTAAGAAGATTTGCTGCTTTAGGGTCTCTGATTTGGTGTGAAATGCAGCAGTGAAAATCTTGGTGACTCCAAATCACATTTCAATAACAAATAGGTTATACTGATGATTTTATAAACACATGGATTTCGTACATAGAGTTAGATTGGGAGGACATAATTTACTTCCTTGCACCCTCGATTTCTCATCTTAAAATAAAATCGACTTCACCTACACACCTAGAAGTTTGTAACAGGAGAAGTAGCTGAAACCACCTCGCTTCCTTCCCTTCTGCCCTTCCCTGCTCCGTGGAGCCGGTGCTGTCCATTGGGGCTCTGCTCCATGACTCGGGGAGTGCTCGCACAGGGCTGAACAGAAGGAGCGCTGCCCCTTCCTGCACCACCACAGACGGAGATTGCTGCCAGGGGCGCGGGAACGCTATAACTGAAGGGTAGACACTGGTGTCAGAGATTTCTGAATTCATATGAATCAAGAAAGAGGTCTAGTGATGGAGCAAAATCGTATGTGGTTTGGGGTTGGATTTTCCCCCCTCTGTTTCACTCTGTATTCCATTTTTTTTTTCTAAAATGAGCCATGTATGACTTCGGAAAATAAAGTATCCAAAATTTATATGAATTTCCTACTGTTTCAAGCCTATGGATTGATGCATATAAAAGTATAGTGATTAATACAATGTGAAATATTACTCATAGGACCTTTTTTTAAAAGAAGGAAGAAAAAGCAGCCCTAGTGGTGCAATGGTTAAGCACTTGCTGATACCCAGCAGGGGACGGTTAGAACCCCACCAGGAGAAATGACTGGCGATTTGCTTGTGCAAAGACTTCAGCTGAAGAATACCCTCACTCTGCCAGGGTCGCCCTGAGTCAGCATCGGCTTGATGCCAGGGCACTAGCCCTTTTCCCATGACTGAATTGGCTCAAGAAACTTAGACCTGATAGCTACCGGGTTGTTAACGGCTATGATTAAGTGAAATTGTAAATAATGTCTTTTGATTAAGCTTCCTGGTACAGGCCCCACCTGCCTCATACCTGGGTTATTGCAATTGCCTACCGAATTTCTCTCTCTGCTTCCAGGCTCCTCACCCGACTGCGCTGTAATGGTCTCAAAACAGTGGTTTCATTTCACCTTTAGCCTGTGCACACCTTTAACGGGCCTCCATTTAGCTACGGCACATGTATCATGGTGGGATGCAGCCTTCCAGGGAGAGCCCAGGCCTAGCAGTTGCTAGTGATATGCTCTCCCTCAAAGCCCACACTTATCCAGGAGGGGGACTTGGTTGTGAATCGTTGCGCCTTCCATAAACTGGATAGTTACCATATGTATCAGTGACCTCCGACCATGTTCCTTTGTGATACCGATGTCTTTTTCTCCTGACTCTGCCCACTGTACCCTACCAAACAACCCCACTCCCCAACCCATACCTCAGGAACCCGTAAGTGACTGTGCGCTTAGCTCTAATTGACGCGTAATAAAATATGTACTCCCCCCCAAAAATGCACCCCCAAGTATATGCTTTTAAAACATGCCATGCATTCTTAGTATAGCAACCAAAATACTAGTAAATATATACATCTTCAGGGAAGGAAAGAAGAAATAATACCTGAGGATACAGTGTAAGGAATGCCTTGGGCCCTAGTCTGACCTCCTCCGGCCGCAAAGGGAGAGGAGAAGCCCGTTCCGCTCCAGGCTGAGGCCAAGGTCACCTGATCCTCCACCCTCCGCGCTTCTTCACCCTGTTCTCACACCAGCAGTCTCACCCAGCCTGCTCCACTGCTCTGCGGGGTTCAGGACCGCACTGCAGTGGCCACACTGCGCTCGCAGACAGTTCTCACGATTACAAGGAAGATAATGGGGTACAAAATGCTAAGGGGACCATTCTCTTGTTCAAAATGTTCGTTCTCAGCCATGCTGGCAGATGTGATTCTCTCTGGTCCTCAGCCTCTCAGCCACGTGGTCCCTTGGCTTCTGCCTTGTCCAGTAGACCAGGAAGCCTCCCTGCTTCATAGGCCATGTGGCTCCTCTGCTCTGTCTCCATGGTCACGGTGCCACGGCCTCTGTGGCCTCAATTGCTTCTACCACTTCAGGCAAGGATGTTGGTGGCTCTTCTTTCTTGACAGGCCTGAGATTCCCACTCTTCCTGCTTCTGAGGGGCCCACAGTACCACCACCCCCAAAATATCTCACTGCCACTGAGTCAGTGCTGACTCATAGTGATTCCCCGTGGGTTTCCGAGACTGTAACTGTTTACAGGAGTAGAAAGCCCAGTCTTTTCTCACAGAGCTGCTGGTGATTTCGAACTGCCACCTATGCAGATCACAGCGCAACGCTGAACCACTGCAGCACAAATAGAATGGCAAAACTAGCCAATCCCCTCTATTGGTATTTCACACGCCCTATTTGCATGCACCACCACCACCACCCCACCATTCCCAATCGTTTGGTGAGAGTTACAAAGGCATCCTTGAAAAGCCATTCCAGGTAACTTCACTTGATCTTGGAATGGAAGGGCCAAAACCAATCTTTGTTATTAAGTATAAATAGAAAAGACTGAATCCTTTCACATGGCATTCAAGGCCCTCCACAAACTGATGTGATTTTCCTTTTCAAGCCTTATTTCCCATTACTCCCATGGCAAACCAATTCACGTCTTCCATTCACTCCGTGCCTGCTGAGGGCCAGGTACTGCAATTATTACCCTATGCACGAGGGCCTCTTGCCATCTCTACATCCATCCTGGGATCGCTTTGTCGATGCTCTCATTTTCCATGCGAGGTCAAGAGCATCAGGGATTTTGTATTTTCCTCAATGCCACACAGGCAGTGACTGATCGTGCCAGGTGTGTGACTGTGGAGCCAGGTTTCATCGCTCCTGTGCTAACCCCATAGATGCCTTGGCTCCCCACCTCCCTCCCTAACTGCTGTCCAGTTGTACCGCTGTTTCTCACCATGGTGTGTCCTCTTACAGAGAATCTGCCGGTTCTTCAAGGTTCACTTCAGCACTTAACTCTTCTGTAAAAGTTTTCAACCTCCAACCCACAGTGGTAGCCCTTCGCTGGTCCGTAATCATATATTGGTTTAGATTGTCATTGAATTGATCATTTCTAAACACCATCTCCCTGACCAGATAAATAACTGCTTGATGGCAGAAACCATGGGTTTGGTTTTCTCTAGGGGCCCGCAATGCATGCCCATAGTCAACCCACACCAGACCCACTGCCTTCTTCAACCCCCACACAAAATGAACCCTATAGCGGACAGAATAGAAGTGCTCCCTCGCGGTTTTGAGGCCATAATGCTTCATGAAGTAGATAGTTTCCTCTTTCTCCTGGGGAGCAGCGAGTGAGTTCAAACCAGTTTTCAATGAGCAGTCCAGCATTAACCCACTGTCACCACCAGGGCCCTATGTCTCTAAGTACGTCCTCAATCAAATGAACGCAGTGTTCAATTATTAACTATTGGCAGGTAGTCAAGCAACTCTTTTGTCATGCAAGTAAGGCAACTTGCTAGTTGGGAATTTAATATTAACGACCGCTTTGGAGGCTTGAAGGAACACTGGTAATTGCACTGCTAACCACAAACCCACCAGCCTTTCTGTTGGCGGAATGATGAGACTGTCAGCCTGTGCAAGGAGTTATTGTCTTCGAATTTATTGTCTAGGACTCAGTGGCCGTGGGTTTGGAAGTGGGTTTGGGTCCCATTCAGTTAGTTTAATGCTAAATAAAATAGGTGAGTTTTTAAAATCATTTTATTGGGAGCTCCCTTCTACCTTGTCTTCACTTTCATTCATTCTAATATCGCTTCCAAAGAACGGCATGAATCGGTGCCGTTGCTTTTTTATTTTTATTTTTAGGTGGTTTGTTTAAGGCTTGATCTAGATATCTCTAAAATCTAGCCTGCCTTAATTCACACTTGGCAGTTTTATGGTATGTTTAGAATGACTGATGAGTACCAGACTTAAACTCTCAAGAAATAACAAGGCTTCTAATTTGTAAGGTAATTATGTTTTGAGTGATCGAGAAAGATGGTAGGTGTGAAAACAGCTTCAGTAACAGGTGTACCTTAAGGGGAGTTTAAGGATTTGACTTAAATTTCTTAAAGAATGTGCTAAAGCAGAATTAGACAAACAATAATCTCTTACCAACAGAGCTTTGAAAGTGAGAATTATATGAGAGCATTTCATTTACCAGAAGAAGGTGGAATGTTCTAAGAATTTAGCAAAAATAACTTTGGAAAAGAAAGGGGTTGTGTTTTGCTGGCTGTTTTCTGTTGATTTAATTGGTTTCCTCTACGGTTCTCTTCTATCCAGGAAGATCGGGTGGATTTACACAAGAAAATAACACCATAGATTCTGGAGAACTTGATATTGGCCGAAGAGCAATTCAAGAGGTTCCTCCCGGGATCTTCTGGAGATCACAGCTCTTTATTGATCAGCCACAGTTTCTTAAATTCAATATCTCTCTTCAAAAGGATGCATTGATTGGTGTCTACGGCCGCAAAGGCTTACCACCGTCCCATACTCAGGTAGGCGTAACCTTGGTTGCCAATAAAATGAAAACTGCTTGCCTGCATTTTTTAAGCTAATCTATTTCTTACTTAACATAAGTTACTGTGTTTCCTACTGAATGTAAAGCTGTTTGTTCAATGGTCTGACCACTTTCGTATTGATCTTTTACAGTGGAGAGACTCTCAAATATAGGTTGCACTTTATTATGAGGTTTGTAAGTCAGTAGTAGGAAGAACTACATTTCTTCCAGACTTGTTTCGATCACTATCGATTGATGAACATGGACTGGAATTTCTTAGTAACTTAATGACTATTGAGCATTATCTGAACACCCAAGAAAACACCATAGAGTTTTCTTGTGCTTTATAAAAATTCTATGATAATTACAGATGATCGTGTTCCACTCATGTTTATGGATGCACAGCATAATCATCTCAGATATGCATTCAGTCTGTTAAAAATGTATATGTTTTTTCTGTATTCCCATTTTACTCTTGGCAAAAAGTCATCGTGGCATAAGATAAATCAATTATATTAACTTTATAAATTCAAGTCACTATTCCTTATCTAGAAACGATGAAGACTAAGGTAAATGGGGCCAAAGCCCTTCCATAAATAACTGTCAACACACTGATTTGGAATACAAATAAATTCAGATATTTCTAACTTATAGATTTCTTAATTATATTTCTAGATTATAGAACCTTAAAGTCAATTCCCATGAATAAAATCCCCCACAATAACAATCACACTTGGAGAGCTGCTATCAATAATTTCACAGGCATATTCTCTAATATGCTAATACTACCTTATGTTATAAGTATTGAAAATGATGACTTAAAATAAACCCATATTTTAAGATAAGTTATTTAAATTACCTACTATAAAATTAGAACTCAGATTTTTCCCGAGTAGAGGTATCTCAAAAATATGATTAACTCTAACTTCACTTATCAACATGGTTAAGATTATGCCAAAATCAATATTATGCAAAAATGGAGGCTCACCACATCAGATCACAAAATGAGGGAATGACTATATCATTTAATAACTGCTAGAAATTAAATAATGACCAGACAGCTGAGAATCGTATAACCCAGCCAAACTGACACATAGCCTTTCCCCTTACAGCCAGCATGACATTGGCCTCGCTCCTTACTGTTCATCACTACTGTACATGTGTTTGTTAATCAACAAGAGTCATATAGTAGACTTGTTACTATAGTGTTAACTGTAAGATGTTGGAAAATAAGATAGACAGTAAGTGGGAGAGGGTATAGTTGGCTAATTAAAATGAATAATTTGATAAGCTTGAAATTGTATTTGATCATGTTTATTGGACCATGAAATTTGATGCAGACTTTAACTTGACTTATAAAATGAAAACTAGAAGATTTTCAAGCATGTTTTTATTTAATTTTGGTCTTTTCCACATAGACCTTTAAATTATGCTTTTTTGTTATTTGAACATGCTTTCTCTAATATCATTGTGGGACAGGGAAAATACATATGTGAAATCTTTGAAAAGCATGCATTGGTGTGATGTGTTTCTGGGTTAATATTTTTATAGCTATTTTATTAGAGTAAATGCCTTCAATCCTTGTATATCAAACATTTCTTGTTGTATACTACTGTCTAATTTTAAATTTCAGAATATAATTAAATTTGACTCAGGCTCATGTTATATGTCATGCTGCCCAGGATATAATAAGGAGATTTTAAAATGGATGGAATTAGGCCCATGTAATTTCAAATATAACAGATAGAAGATTACATTTATAACAATAGTCCAGTAAAACGTGAAAAAAGATTCTTCATTGGAACCACATGATTAAATTACTTTTGTGTAACTCACGAAATATACCTCAGAGCTAAGGACAGCAGTAAGCCTGTAACCTACAAATTTCCCGAAAATAATTTCAGATAAAAACGATCTATTGTGTTGTGCACTTTAAAGGTTTATTGTAAGATTTTAGGTCGACTGTACGAATTATATATGCTCCATAAGATTACGAAAATGAAAGTTACAGTTTCAGGTTTTCTCATAATTCGCTTGATATTTAAATACAATGCACGTGCTATTCACTTTTCTTTTCTACACAATCTCTGTGGTTAAATAGGTTATGCATTTCCTTAAGCTTCACAGTTATTTGGAGTTCCTTCTCTGGGTTATTCCAAATCAGCCAAGCAGACAACTGTTTCTGAGTTCAGTGTTTAAACATGACATATGCTATAAAGCACCCCAAATTGAACAGTTCTCTTTCTAGGGAACCTTAAATAACTCAACCTGAAATAATTAAAATCGGCGAACCATTCTGAATAGTCACCTGAGTTTTGTAAGCCTTCCTGACCCTTTATAAAACTGTCCATTTGATTGTTGCCAAGGAAGCAATTGACACTCTTCTCCCTAATGCCCGGCTCCTTCTGCTGGATACTTAGAAGCCCAAGGAAGCAATTGCACTCCTTAGAGTTAATAGTGTACTCTACCATGTTAGGCCATTTGCATTAGAACTCTGATGGGGAAAGCTGGGTTGTAAGCTGATATAACTGATGACCTTGAAGGAGTCAACTTCTGTATAAACCCATGACCTTGAAGGAGTCAGCTTCTCTGGCCTTCCCTTTGTAAAAGGAAGGAATCAGATCAGATAATCACGAGTATTTCTTCCTTTCTCTGTATTGCAGTGATACACAGTTGAGATTGCTAATCTAAAATCACAACATAAATACAGCACACATGGACAAACCTTTCTTCTTTGGGCTTTATGAAGGATTTTGTGAATACACAGTGATTTAAAATAAACTTTAAGTGAAAAGGACTTTTAAATTTATATTTAATGAAATTTACATTTAAGAGCGCTTCCAATTTATATGAAACCTCTATCCAAATATAAGCTTTGTCTCATGATTGATCCCCCAAAATGTGAGACTAAAGAGTTAGCCCAAAGAATTTAGTCCTCAACTTATAAAAATCCCTAACACTGGAGGCACCAATACGCCCATCTCCTCTCCTAGACCCTCAACCCCGAAAGACCCATGGCAAGTTTACCCCACTCAGTCACTCACTCACTGCCTTACAGTCAGTCAGTTCTGACTCATAGTGACTCCATAGGCCAGGATAGAACTGTGGGTTTCCAAGACCAGTTCGAAAGCCTGTCTTTCTCCCAAGTTTCAGAACAAAGGTTATTAAGTACTCTCCTCCCACATGAGGTGGCTACTTTTGATCAGGGCGATTTGAGTGTCATGTAAGGACTTTGAGCTCCTTGAACACCCTGACTAAGGTCACGAGTAAATGTGTATGCATCAGAGACTGTTGTCATCGGCTGCGCTAGAGCAGACTCCAGCGCATGTAGACATTGTGTGCACAGGTGAAACTGCTCTTGACAGTGGGATTCTCAAGGTTGTGACCCTTCAGAAGCTGACGCCACGCCTGTCTTCTCGGGCACCCCTGTGTAGGGTCAAACCAACAACCTTCAGCTGTAGTGCAGCACTTAACTATTTGGGCCCCCCAGGGACTCTGAGAGCCCAATAAATGAGTAAATCCTCATCAGCTACCCAACGCTCACCACTGTCACCATCAAGTCTGCCACCTAGACTTTTCCTCTGACAATTCTAGAAGAGATTTTTTGAAGGCTAGGTACGCACATCGGTCACGATTTACATCTTTGTAAGATGTAAATGCAAAAAAGTTTAAATAGGACTCAGATTACAATTTTTATATGCATTTATCATAGCAATTGGTATTACTAAACAATTTTACTACACAAAATATCACAGGTATTCTTATTTAGATAAAAAATTATAAGTAAAAAAAGGGAAGTAGATATTCTAAATTCTGCCCCATAGTAAGAGTAGAGGTCTATGATCAATACATTAGCAAGTATTTAACTGTGATTCTCAGAATTTTTAATTTATGAAACTTTCATTTTCTTCTAGTTTGATTAAAGAACTCATATAATCATCTTTTTTCTTAAATAGATAAAATTCCAATTGTTTAAGTAGAATAATGAAGATTCACCAATAAAGCAATGTGATATTGATGATTTATACATGTAAAGCTAAAGTGTATTTTTCACTATGAACACACATCTCAGGAATAAAATGAGACTGGGTACTGAAACAGAATCATTCCACTTTTAAAAAAACTGTTATCTAAAAAGCTTAATGAAACGACATAGAAAATCTTGTCAGTTTCTATCAAATTCACTGCGTTAGCTTTAGTTACAAAATTTTACACCACTATCACCAGTCACCAAGGCATCTGGTGGCACAGTGGGTTAAGCTTTGGGCTGCTAATCACACAGTTGGCAGCTCAAGCCCACCAGCAACTCCATGGAAGAAGCAGGAGGCTGTCCACCCCCATAGAGACTTAGTCTCAGAGACCCTCTGTGAGGGTTGCTGTGAGTCAGATTCAACTCCATGGCAATGGGACATGGGCTTAGCAATCACAGAAGCTTCCTGGGTGGCACCCTCATTTGTGCCAGACGGCTAACTAAAGGTTAGCATGTTGAACTTAACCGGCGGGACCTCTGAGAAAGGCTGGGCGGTCTGTTTCTATAAACATACAGTCAACAAAACCCTCTGGAGCCATTTCACTCTGCATCAGCCGGGGATCGCCTTGAGTCAACATTCACTCAACAGCCAAACGGGGTTTGATGTACGGTTTTATCATTTATCACCTTAAATTGTAAGTGTTTGCCTTGAATTCTTCTGGCCACCTAAGGGTTCATGATTAAATGTATGGGAGAAAAAGATTGAGTTTAACGATAGACTTCCCAATTGTAACTGGGCACATTGATTGTTAGACTTTTCATCCGAGATGTAAAGGCATCTTGTGATACGTTGCACTGTAGAAAGCCCCGTCTTCCTCCCGAGACGTGGCTGGTGGTTTCCAACTGCCTATCTTCAGGCTGGCAGCCCAGTGCACCTATTACCCGGCCAGCACGCCTCGCATCTTCATTTAACTATAATAAGTGAAAACCCTGGGCTCCCTGTAGTGCCGGGGGTGGTTACATTAGGATCCCAGAGGAAAGGTAGACTGGTGTGGAGGCAGCCCCAACTTTGGAGTGAAGCACCCTGGAGTTTACATCCGAACCCCAACCCGTCCCAGCAACTCAACCATGCCAAGGCATCCTGCGTCTTTAAAGTTGGAAGCCTTCATTGCCTTTCGACAAGAGTTGCTGTGTGGATTAAAAGTCATCCTGGCACTAAGCGTCGTCGATACTAGTCGTTACTACTTGAGGACTAAACAGGAAAAGCCAGCCTTAGCAAATGTTCTCACGGAAAACCCCTGCTGAGTTTGGAATATGACCTCTTTGTAAATTATGTGTGAATTACCAGATTCCCTAAACTCAGCATCTTACCCAGGAAGTGAAGAGGGGGTGGGGGTGGGGAATGGTCATCTTTGAAGCTTAAATCAGACAACGCGTGCACATACGATCGTTTCCACCAGCCCTGTAAGCGCCATGGCCGTGTCGATCGGGAACGTTCTTCTCTGGGGTGTTTATGAAGGAGGGGGGGAAAGCTTCAATGGCACGCGAAAGGGGAGCGGGGGCGGGGAGAAGCGGCCCACCCAGTGGTTCTGACTACTAAAGGCGTCGTCCTTCGCTGTCCCGTCCCCAGTACGACTTTGTGGAGCTCCTGGACGGCAGCCGGCTGATTGCCAGAGAGCAGCGGAATCTGCTGGAGTCGGACAGAGCCGGGCGGCAGGCAAGATCCGTCAGCCTGCACGAGGCTGGCTTCATCCAGTACTTGGATTCGGGAATCTGGCACCTGGCTTTTTATAACGACGGGAAAAACACAGAGCAGGTGTCTTTTAACACCATTGTGATAGGTAAGAACAGTTCCCAAGCACCCTTTTCCAGGCGACGTGGCCTCCACGTTGTGTTGACGAGAAACAGAAATGCTCCCGCCCATTTCGAAGAGATTTCTGAAATGTCAAAGCCTACAGTAAAAATGTGAAAAATAATCGTAAGTTGTTTATTTATGAAAATGTGGCCAGTGACGGAGTACTAGAATAAAACAGTATTTGGATGGTGGGGACATTTTGAAAGTGCTTGAAAGCGTGTGTGCATCTTAAATGGCAATGCCGTGTCTGGCTGATCTAGAAATCTAGTGAGTTCTGATGTCACTTTTGCCACTAGGCCCCATACTTCTTTGAGCACATGGCTAAAATGATCAAAAGGGCAGCTGGACCTGGCAGGCTGTCCATCAACTGTCCCTTCTCCCTCCCTCCCTCAGAGTCTGTGGTGGAATGCCCCCGAAATTGCCATGGAAACGGAGAGTGCGTTTCTGGAACTTGCCATTGTTTTCCAGGATTTCTGGGTCCGGATTGTTCCAGAGGTATGCGACTTACGTAGCTCTTTTCTTAAGCCAGGAGAAATAAGCTGTCGATACACAAGTAATTCAGAAAAACTGCCATGGCCAGGAGGGAGGTGGGCAGCCCACTTGTTCCAAAGCGGTGCCTTTTCTTTGAGAAGCTTGATTGAAAGTGTGGCTGCTAACGCTGCTGTCGTGTTCTGTTTCCCAGCAGCCTGTCCCGTGCTGTGCAGTGGCAACGGGCAGTACTCCAGGGGCCGCTGCCTCTGTTTCAGCGGCTGGAAGGGCACCGAGTGCGACGTGCCGACCACCCAGTGTATTGACCCGCAGTGTGGAGGTCGTGGGATTTGTATCATGGGCTCTTGTGCTTGCAACTCGGGATACAAAGGAGAAAATTGTGAAGAAGGTAAACATGTCAATATTTACAGAAGTCTCTTGTTGTCCTCATAAAGGAAGAGATGATATCTGTAATCTGTAGTTTGGCAGATGAATCTCTTGTTGTGTTTCCCTAAAGAAGTAACTCTGATTTCCATAGTTATGATGTGGTGTTCTATGACCGTTTTAATAAAACAAACAAATACCAAAGAGCCCCTCTACTCTTTTTCCAGTCGTGTGAAAAACTTTTTTTTTTAATTCTAAAATACGTAAGCCCGCATTTGTGCCTTGACATCAGCAGTACCTATTGACTTCAAATTTAAGAAGTAAAACTTTTTTACTTGGATGCATTCCAAACCTAGCATTCCTGGTGTCTCTCTGGAGAATAGGGAATATACTATACTAGTGAAAAAAAGAACAAAAGCATAGTTTGTTCCAGAATTCTGTGTAATACTGATACTCAAAATGCAATACTGTAAGGTGCCATTGAATTGTTGTTTGTTTTGTTGTTGTTTTTAAGCAGAAAAACATGTTTCCTTTCTTCAGTCAAATTGATTTTATTGATCTGCACACACAAAGTAATGCAATTAAGTCTCTGGAATTAAACTTTCAGGCCATTGACCCTACAAGTGTAAAGTTTTATTGAGTCCAATTGCTAAATTAAATCTCATCATTTAAAGCACATTAAACTGAATTAAGAAAGCTAGAGAGACTGCAACTCATTTATTTCTCAAGCAGTTTGAGGCTGCCGCACAGCTGCCGGTACTGCCTGGTCCTGGACGAGGTCACCTGCTACAGGTGGTTATAGAGAAGCCAATACTTATTACTCTCTGATTAGGCAGAGCCGAGCGCAACAGTATGAACCCTCAAGTGCATACGTGTGTAATTCAGGAAAATTACAAATCCTTACTAGACTCTGAATTACCTAAATGGCATCGAGGTGGTTCCAAATGCTATACTGTTTTTAAAAAATCCTTTGCATGTTTCAGAAGCAAGTTCTTGAAAATAGTAGGTAAATATTTGATTAGTCCAGACATTCATGGACATTAGATTCGATTGCTATTCTTTATTCCGCACATGCTAGGATCTGCTCAAGATTTAATCATAGGATTGTTCTCTTTCTTTACTAGCTGACTGCCTAGACCCCGGATGTTCTAATCACGGTGTGTGTATCCATGGGGAGTGTCATTGCAATCCAGGATGGGGCGGTAACAATTGTGAAATACTAAAGACCATGTGTCCAGACCAGTGTTCTGGTCATGGGACGTATCTTCAAGAAAGTGGATCCTGTACATGTGACCCTAACTGGACTGGCCCCGACTGCTCGAATGGTAAGGCTAACAAGTGCAGTGGCATTTGAGTAGTTACTGGTCTGTTTAGATAGATTACAGTGTTCTAATTTCCGTAACATTACATTCAATACAAATTTTAGGAAGAGATTGTGGAAATAAATCATAATATCAAAAGTCAGAAAGTACAGTTGCTTTATAGAAAGGAGAGGGCGAGGCACGGCCAACATGACTTTGAAGTTATTGGCAAGAATAATATTTCATTCTTAGCTCTCACTACATGACAAGCCTCCTAATAGACCTACGTGGAGTGTGGGGATTGAAGCCCATTACTCTTAAACAATGCAGCCTCAACTTAAAACCAGGATCCCAAGAAAGAGGATGTGTTATGCAAGGGCGTGCCACGATGTGCATAATAGTTAAATGCTGTTTTTTTCATACGGATGGTTATGTTAGAAAAGGCAGGTGAAACAATGTATTCAGTAGTCACTTTGCTATTGGCACGCACTGTGTGCTCAGCACTGAGGTACGCCAGTAGGGAAGAAGGAATGCAGACGCATGCCTGCCCCCTGGAGCAGTGGCTTTCAAATTGGACATAACGTAGAGTCTTACATTTTTACCTGTTGAGCTGCTACCTGCAAGGTCAGCAGTTCAAACAGCAATCTCTCCACAAGAGAGAGATGACACTTTCTCCTCCTCTAAAGGTTGTAGTCTTTGGAAACCTACAGGGGCAGTTCCACCCTGTCCTACAGGGTCACTGAGTCAAAATGGACTCCATGAGATCAAGTCCCCATATACATGTAAATACTCACATGGCTAACACCAAAATCACACAGAATGATGCACAATACATTAATTTTTCAAGTCTGTGCCGTTTTTTGGAATGCTGGGTGAAACCCCTGAGTTAACTAATTGCATAACCTAATGAGTTACTGTTTGAGAAGATGCTGCCTTACCTAGTCTAGATTATAGTTAAATCAGCGAGATAGGATGAACACACATAAAATGATTAAAAACCAATCAGTTACAGTGTAATATTATACTTGAGTGTTACGTGGAATAATATTTTAAGCCCAGTGGACGTTGAGAGGAGTGATCCTACCTCAATAAGGAATGCAAATGTTATGTTCTTTATACTTTTTCCAACTGCTTTCTTCTGCTACAGGGTGCTTTCATACACTCACTATGCTTTGTTTGTTGCTGTAGAACAGATTTGCAAAGTGTACTTACAAATTGTGCTTCTCCTCACAAGGAGAAGACATGACCGGATAAAACCCATGTTTGTTGTTTGTCTAAAAATGCAAATTGCTAACTCTGTACCTCAGTTTGGGAGAAAGATGAGGCTTTGCACTCCCAGAAAGAGTTAGTCTCAGAAACTCACAGGGGAGCTTCTCCTCTGTCCCACTGGGTCAATACTGCCTGGGTGGCAGTGGGTGAATGGGGTGCCTCTGTGTACTATTTGTGCAGAGGATTTGTTCATGGAATAACAATCATACCGATACCATGAGACATGCAATTTGTAGAATCCTGAGCCCTTAATAAATTCTAAATGTCATAATTATTAATACTATTACTACTACTATTTAAAAAGACACAGTTGTGAGAAATACCACGACTCACATAGGACAAATTAAACAGAGGAGCTGGAGGTCAGAATTGAGGTGGGTCCACCGTCACGGAGGATGCCATTATGAAATGATGTTTTTGACAATGGAGAATTCAATGATATTATTGATATGCTCAGTAATATAAGATTAATATTCTGGGGTAATTAAACTATAGGTCATGTGTCAGTAAACACAAACAAAGAGGCATGGAAAACAAGTTGGAGGACTTGACCAGAACTCTACCTTACTCTGGGTGGGAATCCCTACCGGTACAGTGGTGAGAGCACTCAGCTGCCTGACCAAAGGTCAACAGTTCAAACCCACCCAGCACCTCATGGCAGAAAAAGGAGGCAGTCTGTGTCTGTGAAGATTACTAGAAACGCTGGGGCAGTTGTACTGTATCCTACAGAGTCTCTATGAGTCGAAATTGAATTGAAGGTTTGTTTTTTGGGGGGGGGGTGTTTACCCTAGAACAACTGTTTAACATAACCAAAGAAACCCCCCATTTCCAAATAAGGTCACATTCAGAAGTCCAGAGATTAGTATTTCAATACTTTCTTAGGAAACATAGTCTAGCTATCACATTCTTTAAGTGTGAGAGTGGAATGCAAACCATTTCATCTGTTGGTGTGATCTTATGTAAACTATCATCTATTAGTGTGGCCTTATTAAACCATCATCTATTAGTGTGATTTTATGTAAGCCATCCATTAGTGTGACCTTATGTAAACCATCATCTATTATTGTGATCTTATGTGAACCATCATCTATTAGTGAGACCTTATGTAGACCATCGTCTATTGGTGTGACCTTTAGTGTGACCTTATGTAGATCATCATCTATTAGTGTGACCTTATGTAAACCATCATCTATTAGTGTGACCTTAGGTAGACCATCATCTCTTAGTATGACCTTATGTAGACCATCTATTAGTGTGACCTTATGGTATAAAACAAACCGACATCTTTCTCGGTAGCCAATTCACATGTTACTTCTCAGGGGGTGGTAGTGGTGTAGTTTTTGGTAAGTCACTCTTTGGTGTTTTGAGAAACCAGGGAGACATCTCTGTGTTTAGCTGCCCAGCCTAGCCTGCTACCCAAAAAGCCCAAACGGAGAAAGTTTGGTATAGATTATCACACTGATGAGAAGCGTCTGTTGAACCTGCAGCGAAATATCCGTGAGGGACAGCTGAGGAGTTTTCCTCCGCTCCTCCCTCATATCTCTCCTCCTTGCATTCCATCCTTTGTGATCTCTCTTCCTTCTTTTATTTCTTCCTATTGTTCTTTTCCTCCCTCATCTTCTGTTCATACATTTTCAGAGGCAGACAAGGTTTACAACAGGTTTCTTGCTCCTTTAGATGTGTTAAAAGTACTAGAAATGTTAGTTGCTTCGGATAGTTTTGGACTCCAGAAAGCGTGGTTAGAACATCAACGTGCGTAGGAGAAATAAGGATGCAAACACGAATTTGGACTGGGTTATGCAGAGCCTTAAGTGTATCAGGAGTTTCACCACAAACCAACATGTGAGCCAGGGTGCATCTCATTATCTTACATGACACATTAACTCGTTGTGTCCTCTGTTCTTAAAAATATATTACATAACTTCAAATATTAAAGTAGGTATTTGCTTATATATGTTGAGTCATGATGTACATTTCTGACATTCATACTAAAAGATGGAATCCTAGAGAAAGCGCTACCTGATGACTTGTATCGTAAAGTTACGTTGTGTATGTACCACCAGCCTCTTCTGTCTCCACTAACATAGGCATGTTACTAGTCTAGGATAAGTAATCCCTGCTTGAAATATTGTCATTCTGATTTTCTTTCCTCCATTATCCAAGCAGGACAAGTGCGAGCAAAATAGCACCTTTCTTTTTATTATAAAGTTATCACAATGCATTCCCTGAATTACTTGTAGTTTATAAAAGGTAGCATATAATTTAGGTAATTTAGTCCTCTTCTTAAAATTACAGTGCTATAAATTGCAAATACATATATCCTAATTAAAAATTAATTTGCCCATCGGCTGCCCACGTAACATACTATTATTGTCCGTATCGACCCTGAGTTTTTATGCTGGCTAAAACTCTGATTGCACCGGTTCACAAAATGACGGTGAGTCGCAGTGAGCAGAGGCTGTATGCTCCTCATCTGGATTTGTTTTGTTTCCCCCAGTGCAACACAGAAACTGAAGCTGCAGTAAACTCTCGATATACTCACGCAGGGTGGAGAATGCACTCAGTCCCGTTCTTGAAGAAGGTTGCTGAGGACTGGGAAAGGTTGATTTTTCACTGCTGTTAGTTGCAAAGACAGAACATTTGGTTAGAGTCAGCAGTGACGAGCCCAACACCCTCAGGCTCATCCTGTGATGATGTCTGCGTTCGAGTGTGTTGTCCTGCAGTTCCTTCCACAGAAACCTTGTACCATTTACATTTGTGGTTTAGCCACGCGGCCATTCTGAGTTTCTCACCAGGGAACACCTGAAGGAAAGGGCTTTGCAGGCTCCCTCAATTGTTCCTGTGGAAGTGACCTTCCGATACCTGAATTCAGTAAGACCGGATACCTGAAGAAACATTTGGCTAAGCTGCTGGGAGAGAAGGAATGAATTATTTCCCTCAAAAAGTTTATAGGTTTGAAAGCAACCGAGCTTTCCTCTATCTTCATCAGCAGTTTGTCCATTAATTAGCCCTTCAATTCCACTTCAATTAAATTAACTCTAATTAATAAGTTCATTACAAAGATTGACGCACCTTGCTTAAAGCTAGTGTGCTAAACGCTGATAAACACCTTCACCCTAATGAAAAATTGATTAGATTGAACAAAAAGGGTGGCTCAGAAAGCATCCGCTCCCTTCCCGAGCTGAGGTGAAGCTGTGTTGCTCTGGAGTTAATCAAACTATCTTGGATCTCTTAATCAAAAATTTAATTCAAAAGAAATAGAAAACGTGGCATGAAAAAAAAATCACACATACGCCCTCTTACAGTTGGTAGTTTTGACTGCTGTTTATAAGAAGTGTTACAACTCTTATAGTGTCTTAATAGGGTATTTTTCAAATCCTCCAGCACTGTGAGGAAGCCAATTATGGTGTGGGAGAAAGATTATTCAGATAATGAATGGAAGGAGTAGGAGCAGGTGGCTGTAGGAACAGTTAGTATTTTTAATTAAGCAAGAGGCTATAGATTAGTTTCTGTTTGTTAGAAATTGTTTCAGGTTTCTGTTATTGAGTTATTGTTATAAGAAAATCAAAACTGAAAAGAATATCTTACAGTGTCCAAAAAAACCCTTAATTTTATATCTACAGAGTAAAGACTAAAGTATCCTTCATGATTCCTTCCCCTCTGCTGCTTCTCACTCACCCTCTTCCTCACCCCTCCTGCCTTGCCCGTCTCTCCCACCCCTGCCTCTCTCTCTATCGTTCTCTCTCACTGTGTAGTTGGTCTGACTCAACACTTAACCACAGCAACAAATAAAACTTTTTTTAAAGCTTGCAGAAAAATAAAAATTATCTCACATACCTGAGTTCTTTCTGAACGCCTAGCCTAGTATTATTAATAGTTTTTGAAGTGACTTAATCACCTCTGCTCCTTTCAGTAATGCTAGTTGTTGTAAAATCTTACTTTGATTTTTGACGGAGTCAGTAATTATATATAATTTTAAACTGACTTTCTACTCTGTGAGCTAAGCACCTTGTACCTGTCAACGGGGAAAATTTACTGAATAGGAAAAACAACAATTTATTTTCCTTAACCAGCAGGTCTGTGTGTCAGAGGCAAATGCCTGTACTCTCCATAGTAGATTCTTTTTCATGAACATTCCTGGATATTCAAAAAGCTCTGAACAGTAGGATTGGAAATGACCCCTTTTCAGCCCTTGTGATTTACTCGTATGTGAACCCTGTAACTGAAGGCTTAGATACTAAGACGGTTCATTAATTCGATGTGTGTGTCCACGTCTGTCTGACCGCCGCGGTGGATACCCTTCTGGAGGAAAGGATGGCTGAGAGGGAGCATAGAAGGAAGATACCAGCAGGCTCCTCAGAGTTCCAGAACAATCCCATCGTCTTTCACTTCTGTTGTTCCATGAACTTTTCAGAACCCCTTGATAGACAGATACACACACATAGGTAGACACACACACATATATAATTTTAAACTGACTTTCTACTCTGTGAGCTAAGCACATGTAGGTGTACATATATAGACAAAATGTGCATACAGAGAGACATGGGTATATATGTGGATGGTTACTAAAATATGAAATTATCATAGACTCGCTGCAAGTATTATCTACACGAGTTAAGACAGTATATTAAATTAAGTCACAAACGAAGCAGTGCCACATTTAATGCTGAAATGTGCCCTCCATACATGGGTACTTTCCTTTTCCACGATGTGGTTCTCCCCCGTTGGCACACTTGCGTTTACGACTGTCACACTGCTCCCCACCTTTTCACCTTTCTCTGCGTTCTCTTCATTTCTTTGTTTCCGATGTAGAGATCTGCTCAGTGGACTGTGGCTCCCATGGCGTGTGCATGGGGGGGACCTGTCGCTGTGAGGAAGGCTGGACTGGCCCCGCTTGCAATCAGAGAGCCTGCCACCCCCGCTGTGCGGAGCACGGAACCTGCAAAGACGGCAAGTGCGAATGCAGCCAGGGATGGAACGGCGAGCACTGCACCATCGGTAGGCTGACTGCGCTTTCGTATCTGCCCTCCGCACCAGGCGAAAGGGCGCTGGTTGATTCACTGCAACATGGACGCATGCAGATGCCTTTCAAATCCTGTTGTTTTTATTAAGAACGTGCTTTTTAAGTAAGGTTACCTTTGGCAACAGCAATTCGCAGTTCTTTCTAGAACCAGGGTCCCAAGTCGGATGTGTATGGTTTTATTTATTCCTTACTGTGAAGGCCACAAAAATGGACTCACGTAAGCACAGCAGATCTCATTTCTTATTTATTAAAAAGACTCATTTATATTATCTTCATTCATATATTACTTCTTAGTGTTCTGTGTTACCATTGCATTTCTTAATAATCACAGCCCACTTTTTTACTTGAATTAGTTTTTTGCAGATCTGTGACCTTCTTGGCCTGGCTCGACCCCAAAGTCACACATCTTAGCGTCTACCTTCCAAAAAGAGACTTGACTTTTAATTACTTTATTTTACCGGACTATGAGATAAAAAGTAGCTATCAAATATTCAAGTATAGCTATTCTTAAACAAATTTATATGCTTAACAGTTTTTTCTTTTTTTAATCATTTTACTAGGGGCTCATACAAACGTAACAGTTTTTTCAAAATAACACTCAGGGACTTCTGTAGGTTAAATATAGCTCTGAAATGGGGTTTAAGATGAAATGTTAGTGCATCAATGATATTTAGCAATGACAGCAGTATCCAAGGGGTATCTGGTATCATATTTTCAAGGTATTCTGTGTCTTTGCTTTCTACTATTTGTACCACTGAGTTAAAATTGAGATAACAATTAAAAGTTTTTAAAAGTCACATCAACGAACATGTACAGTATTAGTGTTAAAAGGCATAATGCTACAAAAATTTCAGAGTTGGGGATACACTGTTTCTCCACATTGTTTTATACTGTATGGTAAGTTTCGAGAAAGCTGTGCTTGTGGGTGGGAAGTGGCATTTGGGTCTCTTAAAAAATTTCTTCAGTTGAGTCTGTAAGTATTACACAACTTCACTGTCGTGCTTGCAGTCACTGGTCTGCCAGAATTTTTCCCAGGGAAAATGAAAATTACCTACATTGTATAATTGATACAATTGCATTTCTAGAAACTTCAAGGAAGCTTCTTTTGAGTGTTACTGACATCGGTTTCGAGGGTCCTACGTTAGCTCCATGTGTCTTTGCTGCTTCATTAGCCGCGTTCACAGGACTGTGGGGCGCTGGACCCCAGGCGAACACTGTGTTACACCATCAGGAAGGAGGGGAAAGACACATAGGTGGAGCCGGGAAAAATGCAGCACAGAAAACCTGTGTTCTTGTCCCCCACCAAGAGTGGTCCCACCCCGCATGCCCTTTCTCCAGCCAGGAACTGCATCCGCACCCGGGCAGTGTTTCTGGTTCAGGGAAGCCTCATGGTGGCAGAGAGGCTAGCGTTGTGTTTTGTTTTGGAGGGAGGAACCTAACCAAGCGAGGTTTTTCCACTTGAGACACTTGAACCACAACTACAAAAGTTAAAGATTCAGAAAGAGGCGCAGGCGCTTAGTACTCCCAGAGGGCAAAATAGCCTTAACGAGGCAGGGTCTACCCAGCCTACCTCGAGCCAGCCCTGCGAGCACACTCGCTATGGCAGCTCTTACTGCACACATCTGGCCCTACTGCCTACAACCGGGGTGATGGGCATTATCATCGCGTTTCCACGGTGCAGAGCGCTGGCCATCCGTGGAGAGGAGAAGGACGGAGCTAGGGGCAGACCTCGCTTCACATGCTCAAGCAGTGATATGAAATAGCCAGAAAGTGTTTGAAAAAAGTGAGTTCAAACTCTCTGGGTAGACTTTTAAAAACTCCTCGTGCATTATGGAATCCCCCCGCCCCCTTATCCCCAAGATTCTGGTATGTCTGTCTCCTCCATGGCTCTAAAGCAAGCTTCCTAGGATATCGGCCCTGTGTTGCTCATGATAACTGCACTAAAGCAGAAAGAAGAAGAAGAAGGAAAAAAAAAGGAGAGCTACCACGTGTGTATCTTTCTGTGAACATGCACAGCACAGTGCAGTAGCACCGCTCCATGCCCCGCTCTCAGATTGCCCATATGCTAAGAAGAGTAGGTCTCTAATCAGACTCTTTCACACACCACCTCATCCCTGGTCAGGAGAGATTAGTTGATCTTAGCGCAGGGTCCCTGTCTGTATACTAGGAAGGTACGCGTATAGCAACCGTATGTGGGCACAGTTTGGAAAACTAAGAGTGTGCTATGAAGCTATCCATAGACAGACTTCACTGGCCAACCAGCAGTTTCTTAGCAAATCATTCTCTGCTTGTCCACCAGACCTGGGTCGTTTTCCCAGGGATGAGCCAGCTGTTTGTGAACAATTCTCTGGGATTTTTATTGGGAATCCCGCTTTTCTATTGCATTTCGCATGTTTGCTTTGCACATTTCATATGCGTAGCAACGTGCAAGTAAAAGACCGGGTTCATTTGAAAACAAATCTTGGACATAAAGCTTTTTAAAAGGCACAGAGAGCCTTTAAATCATTGTTTGTTCTTTGATACCACTAGAACACTTGACTCCAAATTTTGGCATAGAGAAATCCAATTTCTTTTCCCCTGCTACTGACTACCTGTGTTCCGTGCCCGCCACGAAGCCTGCGGGGCCATTTTTAAAAAGGCCTTTGTGAGGCGCTGATTGAAGAGCCCAGGAGTTCCGTGCGTGTTGGGATTTTCCCCTCGTTCGGATCGTTACTGTTGCCGCGAGTTCGCTCTCAGTTCCAGCACTTGTGCATCTGACGGAAAAGAGCTGCCAGTTTGTGAAAGCATTCTCATAAATCAGCAAGATTTTTTTTGCTTTCTCCATATTATGTGCCATCTCATTGAATACAAACAGGGAGGTTAATTGAAAGAGAGATGGAAGAGAAATTAAACAGTTAGAAGCAAACAAAAGTTCCCAATAGAAAGCAAAGAACATTCCTCATTAGTCATCTGACTGTCTTCATAAACCCCTGTCCATGCTTTCATAAAACCATAGGCACTCAGATGGTGAAATAGCTTATGAATTTAGAGTATTCACTTAGCATCTGATCTACCTGAAGGATCCCCACCTGATATTTTTATTAATGTGTTCACATTTTCCTCCCGTGAGTCGCGTGTTCAGCAAATCAGGTATATTCACCTGCAGGGTGGACCATGTCATTTTTTTCTTGGGTTAGACTTCAACCAGTGATGCATAAAGATAGGAAATGAAACAAAGGCGAAGTCAACCTTTAGCACTGTTGTGGTCAAGATATTTCCCCTTTGCTATTACAAAGCATTTTTCCTCTCTCTCTAGAAGGCACTTATGGTTGCTGACGCCTTTTAGAAATAAAGCAGTTACTAGCAATGTGATCCAGTGGTATTAACATTAGCATAGGTTCTCAATTCCATAATATCTTCCTTCAGATGTGACCAGTCTGTAAGAGGGCCAACATGATCACCTGTGTTCCTCCTTGTTTGCATGTGGTCACACAAACCTAACCCAAACCCACTCCTACCGAGTCAATTCGGACTCGCTATACTTAACAGCCCACTGCCATCGAGGGTATATTCCAACTCACAGCAAACCTTTCGCACAGTCCTGCCCCTTTGGGAGTCAGAGACTTCAAATTTTTACAAGAGCAGAAAGCCTCATCTTTCTCTGTGGAGACGCTTGTGGATTAGAACTGCTAACCTTGCAGTTAGCAGCTCAATGAATATAACCCACTACTCCACCAGCGATCAGTATATTTAAAGGGCCCAGAGACAAGATTAGAAGATATTAAATATAACTAAATGTTATATAAATGATAGTGGGTATCATTAGAAAATGTGAAAAATGAGAATTTCCTCAATATTAAATTTGTGTAGGTACTCACAAGTTTTAGTTTTCAATGTATGAATCAGTACAATTAGTCAAGAAGTTAGACAAGAGTTCCCAAGGGTGGTGTGAAGCCAAAGGGTTCTGTAGTTATAGATACATAGGAATAAGGGGGGTAACTGGACAGACTTCCTTCTGGCTAGCAAGCATTTTGGACTAGGTGAAACTGAGTAGGCAATTTCTACCCTCTTTCCCAGAAAGTAAGACATTCTCTGAAAATAAGACCTACTTACAGTTTTGCCTCTCGCTGAAATATAAGGCACCCCCCAAAATAAGGCCCCCGAAGCTACCGTAACTCTGGACTCAACCATAACGGCAGGTGTGGCCAGGCAGCTCACTGTTTGTTGGACACAACGCAGCCAGAGCAGACAGGAAGTGCTAGGTCTCTTTTATAAAACAAACAATAAATGTGTACTGTATTCTTCATGGAAAAATAAGACATCCCCTGAAAATAAGACCTTGTGCATCTTTGGGAGCAAAAATTAATATAAGACACTGTCTTATTTT